ATAAAAAAAAGTTGGTCTTACACTCTCATGCTTTATTTTTATAGTAAGAAAAGTTCAACTCTTCTCTTTTACTGAATAGAACTTCAAATAACAGTTATTCTTATGTTTGTAGTTGTGAATTTATTCTTCCTAAGGGCATACGTCCAATCGTCTTTTATGAGTAGCCAGCACTTTGACTCAATCATAACAATTGTAAACCAAACCAGAGAGAGCACCAATTTTAGAAATCTCAGTAGACTTCTTATTTTTACAAAATAACAAACTATATCCTGCTTTCTAAGAAACTTCTCTCTAAAATTATTTTCAAGAATTTTACTTTGAATTGAAAAATAAAAATGGAAGTTTTTGCTATTGTTTATGATACCGAGAAAGCTCTTAAGCCATTAATATTCACATTTTACCTATCTGATCTGTAGATTAACTAGAGTGATCCGTTTAAGTGCGGAAAGAAGATTTTTCATCATCATCATCAAACTATATCTGGATGCTTGAGGCCGTTAGCGGCCTTTTTCCCATTCGTCTTGAATTGTGATCTTTAAGGTGGTTCTTTCTAGTAATTAGAATGCAATTGGAGTATAAGGAAATTAAATATTTTGTATTTTAGTTAAAATTACGTCACTACAAAAATGAAATGCCATTGGCCTAAGGTTTAGTCTTCTCTTAAGTTTTCAAAACTAAAAATTTCATTGAATCCTGCTGTGTCACAATTTATGGTCTTTTTTAAAAAAAAAACGAAATTTAACTTTGCAATATGATGATCTAAAAAATCTATGTTGAGGAAATCTATGTGTATGTTTTTATTTCGGCTAAATCATCTTGCTTTTGTTATTTTCCTGAGGATTTTATTCTGGCATATTTTGAGTTTTTTAAGGAGTGATGTGGAGATGTTGCACCAAGCTGGAGATGCATAAGTTAGGATGGGACGGATCATCGAGATGAAGAGTAAACGTTTAAGTGTGAGTTCCATTTTAGGGTTCTGAAGAAGGATTTGTAATCTGTGGCAGACTGCTTTTGCTTTGTTGATAACTGTTTTGACGTGATCTTTCCAATTAAATTTGCTGTTTATGACCAGACCAAGATATTTTGCGTTTTTGACTATGGGAATAATTTCATTAAAGAGAACAATTTGATTTTTGGGGAGGATGGTTTTTCTTTTATGCTGAATAATTAGTAGTTTTGATTTTTGTCCATTTACTTTGAACTTCCAGTCTAGACACTATGTTTCGATTTCCTTCTGTTTTTCTTGGAGTTTTTGTAGCGCGATGTTGGGGTTTTGTACTTCACTACGATTCCAGTGTCATCTGCGAAAAGTGCTGTGATGCTATTAAAGTCTTGTTTGTCGACAAGAAAGTCGTGGGTAAATAAAATAAATAATATGGGCCCAAGAATGCTTCCTTGGGGCACTCCTGCTGTTACTTTTCTGTTTGTTGACTTCATGTGCTTAAAGTTCTATTTCTATTATGTAAGTAGGCCTGTATAATTTTTATGATACCAGATGGGAATTTCAGTTTTATAAGCTTGAATGAAGATTTTTCCGCAGTTTATCTAAGTTATGTACGCATTTGAAGTCGTACGTTACTTCTTTGAGCATATTGAATTAATTAGAGTTTCGGCAGTGTGATGGCAACAGGGATATTTTGTTTCACAGTGAGTGACGTCATTTTGTGTGCATGTAATTACTGAACTTATTTAAAAGGCATGTATTTTTTAAAGTAGTTATCACTTTAATATGTCCCTTTACTCTGTCGTTGTATCCGGTTGATGGACGATATTACCCTTACCTGTTTAAGTTGTATTATGAGTAATTATTGTTTAGTTAATTGCTGTATCGAGATGGTACAGTGTTTAATAAAAAAAATGCTTCAAGCTTCATCATATGACTATTCACATTCACTCCCCACCTACTGTGTGTGCTTTGCCCGTCAGGTTTCAGTATCGTTTAAGATCAAAAATTTGTTTCTCTTATTCTATCAACTAATGTTAGATTCTATGTGTTGACTTGATCCTTTAGATATTGAAAAATTAAAAAATGGTATTATATAAACTTACCTTAATTGTTATAATATTTTAAGCAAATAAATTTTTTGTATTACGGTTTTTAAATTCCGTCCAGATTGCAAAGTCAAAAATTGAAGATATTTTTGAGGTTTATATGAGGTTGTTTTAGAGATGTCAAGGTTTATTTGAGGTTTATTCGAAGTTGATTTCAAAGACAACCTTAAAAGATCAAAACCTCCCAAGGTGTATGAAGTTGTTTTATTCACACTTGAGGTTGATGGAAATCCACTTTACGACAACCAGAGCAGGGAAGTTGTTTTTGAGGTGTACAGATTATTTTTTTTTTTACACTTCAAGCAAATACGTATATTTGAGGGGTGAATAATGTAAACTTAAATCATTTCTGGGTTATATATGAGGCTGAAATTGAAGTTTATTAATAAGGTCATTTTATTAATTGATTGCATTTATAAATGAAGTTAATTTGCGGTGCAAAACATGACCTCATTTTCTACATTTTCTATCTCTGATGTATTTTTTTACGTCCATCAACCTCACAACGACCTCAAAAAAACCTTATTTTTTTGTAAGTGGATATTCACGGATTCAGGACATGAATGTCTCTCTGTTTGCTCTCTCTTTAGTGATACGTGAATCAAAAAGTAATCAAAAGTAGTATCAAAAAGTAATTAAGGTAATTGTAGAGTTTAAATATTTTACTTATTGAAGTAAGTTAGTATAGTTTTAAGTATAGTTTAATTATTTTACATATAGTCAAAATAATTCTAAAGAAATTATTAAATCTAATATAAAATGCTGAAGCGTAAAATTACTATCTAATAAATGTATTGAAAATCACAAAGTTTGTCATCACTTTAAATTTTCATTAAAAAAAAAAACTTTCGCTAAAAGTAGGAACATTTTGCGTGCATGAAAAATGTATTTATTTATTGCTTCCTGATATAACAAAATTATAAAAACAAATTAATGAGAACCAATTTTTCTGAAAATTGCATATGATTCAATAATCAATGTTTTTAGTTAGGTTCGCTGCGAGTATAATTAAACAATTTCTTTCAGAAGAAATATTCCTGAATATTCAGGTGTTAAGCTACTATAAGCGGAATTAATCTGATAACTTATTGTTGCTGTTTCTAATGCTACTTGCCAATACCAGCTAGCCTGCATGGTGAAACCAAGCGAATTTAAGTCAGAGGGTGTGTTTCTTTGTTTACAGTGGCGCCATCTATGACGAAGAATTAGCCACACACACATGTCACAGTTCGTTTATAGGGCTGACCCATTTATCCAACCAGATATCGTAATTTTGATCGTAATTTGCTAAATCCCAAATTTTTATTATTTTTTAAAACAAAAATTAAGATGGAAGAAAGAAAGCAAAACGTGCTTTGTTTTGAATGAATTCAGAGAATAGAGCACGTGTCCCCAAACTAATATTCCCCTTATGGTTTTAATAATTTTGGCGGAATTCTACTTTATTTGGCGACTTTTCGCTTACCCCCGGCTAACGGAAAAGTATCGATTTTTTTTAAAAATTTGTGCTAACCATGTGAAATATAAGATAAAAAAAAGAAAAGAAGATGAAGAAAAGAAAAAGGTAAAGAAACATGTTGTCATTATAAATTTTCATTTACAAAAATATATTGGTTTATTAAAAGGAAATGTATGCTATGTTAAAGATGATAAAATTGCCTAAACTTAGATCCCCAAATTAAAACCATTAATATTTCCCATTGCTTCATGAAATAATTGTCACTACTTTTATGGCTACCCTGCTTCTGAAGTAGAATAGCTCAGGTGGGGTAGTTGCAAGGCTGCCAACTACAACGCTTTTTGAAAAATATTTTACAGAATGGTAGACAATTAAAAATTAAAGCTTTCAGAATTTTATGTAATTTCGCCAAAAGTTTAAAAACTTCACCACAGAACAAAACCAAACAGCTTCGAAAATAGCAAAATTATACAAACGATGCAAAAGGTGTCTTTATAAAAAAAAAGTGGTGCAGCACATACCTTAAACGTTTACACTGCCTAGTTCTGTCGGATACTTACGTCACAAGTTTGACCATGCATTCACATGCTCTTTTGTACCATATATGCTGGGACTCTTTTAGCTAGAACATTACCACTGAATTAAAGGATGAATACCCTACCATTTTTCTTTATAAAAGAACCTTTTGCATTGCTGTAAAAGGTTCGCAGACCGGTATTCCTAATGTATCATAAGAAATGATTTTTTTATTTTTCTATGCTTAATTATTTTTACACTTAATGATTTATATCGGAATGAAAATGTAGCTCCGTTTAAAAAAAATGGAAATGGTGCAATTAAATGTTAAAGTGGTATCTAATGTTGAAAGAGATCCCAATCAGCGTAATAACGTTATTGAGCAATAAATTACATATCAATCAACAAACTACATATTATGCACCAAATTTATGTTAAACGTAAATTTTCAACCATTATAAAAAGAATTTTAAGACGCATTGGTATCCTGAATCAAACTGACACCAATAACAGAAACTTTCTTATTTTGTTCAATTTTTATTTATTTAGTTATTTTTACTCTTATGAACAGAAAAAAAATCGAAGGATGATCGTTTTCAAAGCGCAGCAGTTTGTTAAAAGCACACGACTCTACCAGGGCTGCCAACTTTCAACGCTTTTTGTAAAAATGTATTCTAGTGGTAGCTATGTTTATGATTTAATGTAATAATTTTCCACACCACTACTAAATGATTTAAAAGTTCATATACAACACATCTTTAAGCAGCGATGCCAACTTGCTCTGGACAGAAAATAAATTTTTTCGAGTGGTAGTTTATTAATATGTGAATCTTGGTTTAAATTCAATTTATTAGGTTTTCATCCACCACTATTTCTAAATAATTCAAAGACTTATATAATTCGCCACTTTTTTTCATTCAGTAAAGTTCTGCGACCCCGATAAAATAAGTAAATCACTTTAGTCAAATGTTTGCAAATTTTAGTATGTAGTTGTTTACCGTTTCTTAAATTATTATGGCGTGTCCGGAGCAGTTGGCATCGCTGCACTTTGTTCCAGATCTGTCGTGGTGAGAATTTAAAAATGTTAGTAAAATTACCAAAAGTTTTGGTTTTGAAATATCTATCATTCTATAGAACATTTTGCAAAAAGCGTAGTAGTTGGCAGTCATGCCCTACTGGAATAGTCACTAAATTGATGCCATCACCACGTTTCACTTTTCGTGGAATATGAAGTTCCTAAAGTATAGAGGAGCTACAACTTCTATATTCCTAATACAGAATTCTACTTTTGATTTCGATGAGAAAAAAAAATATTTTAGAACGTAAGGCAAAGGAGTCCCTTTTTTTAAAGAGGAGTAGTTTGTTGGAGGCCTTCTATCTGAATCGACAGCGACTTTATGTCCTCGGCACTTTTCACTTTTCGTGGGGTTCTGGGTTCTGACATCACGGAACCGCTCCTACTTCTATAAGGACTACCCACGAAAACAGAATTCTGTCTAGAGCGCATCCTGTTTGTGTGATAAGGCGTAGATGTAGCACCGAATTCTAAGTTGAATCGTTCTAGCGGTGCCAAGACATCGTTGAGCGGCTGACGACTTGGTTTTGCGATAACACTCTGAGCATGGTATTGCGGCTGATAAGATTCCAACATACGAATCTTTCCCCATTTCTTGAAGAAAAGCACCATGACGAAAACCCAAACAGACAGGACAAGCACCACTATGACGACCTCTTCCTCTCGCACTCTAAATGGAGTGGTAACCTCATCATCCAAGATTGTCTTCTGACTCCAGTTATCTTTTTCTATAAATAAACAAAAAAATTTTTTTAGACTGGATGTAAATCTTGTTACGGAATTTTGATAGCAATATTATACTCTCCAACAACTACGGGATTTCACAGTTTCAGAAATTCTTTTACCTCATGGTATATGGAAAAACTGATCACCACTTGGTGATTAAGTATAACAAGTAGCTTTCAACAAATTGTCTGTCAGTCCATCACCTCCTACATTTGAAAGCTTTCACACGGTTTTTTATAAGTAGTCTGTGCAGACTATTTAAAAAGTGAACCAGTTATGAGCATGAACCCAAATTATATATTAAAAGTAATTGAGAGAAATTTATCATAGATATTTGAGAATTGAATCTGTACTGGTTGACAAGTAGATAAGACAAACCAATCAAATTNTTTCCAAGATAAAGTAGATATTGCTGAAAAATTTAAAAAAAGAATAAGTAAACTCCTCCCCAAAACTAGCTATAACTGAAATGGTTTTACTACCAGCCTTTCCTCTTTTCCGTCTCGCTTTCACCCCTGGTGGTACACAGCGTTACGAAAAATTTAGATAGGGTGCACAAAAGTCATAAGTTTGGGAAAAACTGCCCTACATTAGAAAGCCTCCACAAGGTTTTTTATAAGTAGTCTGCGCAGACTATTTAAAAAGTGAACCAGTTATGCGCATGAACCCAAATAATATTTTAAAAGTAATTGAGAGAAATTTATCATAGATATTTGAGAATTGAATCTGCACTGGTTTTGTAAATTAGACAAACCAATCAAATTCATAAATTAAATAAACCACTTTTAATATATTTTGTATTGAATAGCTTTTTCGTACACTTGTGTACTTTCACAGTGGTCTGATCGGAGTACCAACAAAAAAAAAGTGTGAATGCTAGTCGCCATTGAATTGTGACTTTTTCCGTCGAAAATGCACCCCATGTGTTGTTTGTCATTATTTTTCTTGGCAAACAGGGCTGCCATTTTTCAACGCTTTTTTTAAAATTTTATGTATTTTTATTTTTATGTATTATTTTGTATTAATTTCAACTTATTTTCCACACCACTACACATAAATAATTAAAAAGTCCATTCGCTATGCCACTTTTCTCCAGCTCTCTCGCGGTGAAGCTTTTAAAATGTTGACAAAGTTACCAACAATTCCGAAAGCTTTGTTTTTTCAAATGTCTCCTGCTCTATAGAATAATTTTCAAAAAGCGTAGCACACTGGTGAAAGAAATTAAGAGAATTTTCAGACTTGGTCGATTATCTCTAGAACTACTGGACCGATTTTAATGAAATTTGATATGTACATACATTGATACAATACAAAACAAACAACCTATCAGCAAATGTAATACACACGCATAATCATGCGTAACACTCATTGGAGTAAAATGCATATTATAATTTTATCTTAATAAAATACGCGAAGGTAATAAAACTGTTAAAAGCGAGATAAGTATGTTAAGAAGTCAATAAAATCTGATAAAAGCCTAATTACATAAAATAAATAATATAGATAAAATGGTACATTGGTAACAAATAAAAGCGAAATAAATCAGATAAAACAGTTAAATGCAATATTAAATACCAATATCTCGCAGAAATGAGAAATTGTTAGGATGATGAATTTAACCCAGCAAATACATTAAATAGTGCTTTTAAAAAGGGTAACACGATGTCGGTTAAATGTGATTAAGCTTAAGTAAATGATCACAAGGTTGCATCTGGGAGGAGGTTCTCCGAACAACACATGAAGATGGATGAGTCGAGAGTAGCCGATTCTGAAACGAGTAACTAGGCTATTGTTAGAACATCCGCCTTATTTGTCAGACATTACACCACGCAACTTTTGTCTGTTTCCTGATGTCAAACCAGGATTAAACGAAATAAGATTTCACTTTCTGAATCCTTAACCCATTCCGGACGGGAGAGTCATAAATGTATTCGTAAGGAATCAGTATCAGGATGGTAAAAAAAAAACTGTAGCTTAAGTTTGGGCATAGCTTATTTGACAGATTTTTGCTTTCACTTTAAATCTAGCACATCCAATCCATGTGTGTTAAAAGTGTAAATATACAGTTTTTAATTCGAACTAAGTAGTGATGAATTAAATAAAGCAAACTATTATTACCCCGCCCACAAATAAACTGCTATAAAAATAGCTTGGCACCCAATTATATATTTTTTACCCTGATTATCGACGCCATGAAAATGCATATATGACTCACCCGTCTCGAAGAGGTTAAAAAAGAAAGCGGCATACGCTATGGACGATATCACAGAGGAATTCTTCCAGCACTGTTTTAATCAATGAAAAATTCACTTAGAGCGTCGTAGGAGTAGAGAGAGGGTTTATATTGAAGGTGATAATTACTTTAAATATAATGTTTTGCAGAAACAGTCTCGTGCTTTAATCCATTTAGGTCTACTTTTGTGAAAATGCAACATTTTGTTTAGACGTAAATAGCTATTTGGGAACAAAAGTAGTGGAACATTTATTTTTAAACTTATCTAATATTTTATAGTGTTGGCTACCTCTTTCTCTTCTTATCTATATATTTACAACAATCATTCATGGTAGCTTGTATTTTTGTGTATAATTTTGTTGATAATTTCTACTTGTTTTCCTATTTTTATATATTTATAATTGTACTTTCATGTTATATTTCAGTTATTGTCATAGCAATGTGCTATTTTCTAATTTTTACTCTGCATTTTGGCATTTGTGTTCCAAGCATGTAATCAGTTTTTTAAAGATGCCTACCATTACAAGATGAAAGCTAAAAGGGCTAATTTTGGCCTCAGGTGCCCAGTTACATTTTTCGGACCAGACCAGTAGTAGCTTGTTCTTCCAAGATAAATTCAAGGTACGAAATTAATAGAGTCACCAGTCTTAATCCTTTCAACAAAAGTTCATGGAAACTTTGGCTCTTAATGGAATAATAGTAACACCTCGTAAATATTCTTAAAGGTTGCAAGATAGCCTAGTTGAGGTTGGTTGGTTCTAATGCCACTTGCCCCACGGGCAAGCCTGCTTGGTGAAACCGAGCAAATTTAAGGCAGATTGCGCGATTCTTGTTTTTCAGTGGCGCCACCTATGGCCAAGAATTCGACTTCTGCCACATCATACGTCACACCTGTTTACAAGGCGGACCCATTCATACATTTACAGATCGTAATTTTGACCTGAATCAGAGAACAATCGGTCTCCAATCCAGTATCCCCAGAGGTATTGATTTTTATGGGAACATGGAGGACTTTGTGACTCGACAGAATTTCAACGTGCATCAGTCACCAATTACACGGGGAGTCTTCGGCCGTCGGGGTTCGAACTCTCGGACATGGGCCCAGCGCCCTACCGACCAGGCTATCCCGGCCCTTAGCCTAGTTGTTTCAACCACTTTTAAGTATCTGGTAAACTTACATGCTCAGGGCTTGGAGGAAAGAAGAAAAAAAGAAAGTATCTGGTAAAATTATCTGTTTAAAGTCTAAAGAAACACATCTGTTGTACTATCAAGTTTGAAACCTTTTGCAGCTTAAAAAAGATATTCCTTACCAGCTATTTCTAAATAATTTGACGGCATATATAATTCGCAACTTTTGTTTTAATTAAATCTCGCTACACCGTTTAAAAAGTAAGCAAAATTAGTCAAATTATTGCCAATTTTAGTTTGAAGTTTTTACCATGTTTTAAATTATCATGGCTCGTCCGGAGCAGTTGACATCTCTGATGCTGATAAATAAGTTAAAATATAAATATGATAATTGAGCGAAATACGATACTTACGCATAACATCGGGAGAAATGAAGAGCAATTTGTTACTAATGTTTGTAGGGTTTCCAGAAAGATCAAAGGCCACGACATGTAGTTGGTATTCAGCACCAGGTTGTAATTGCTCCAATATCACTGACTTCTCATCTCCAGGAATATCATGCACCACTCGATACCTAATAAACAATTATGTTAAAGTAAAAAATGCGCAGTACCTAAATTCAATATTATTTATATCATATAAATGAAATAATATGCGTTATCCACAATCAGTGTGTAAAAAAAGTGGTACCATACCTGCCAACTTTTAATTCGTTCGAGGATGTTTTTCCCCACTGGTAGTAAAATTTTATTTCAATTACAATTTTAGGCAGAAACATTTGCTGTATTTTGAGAAAGCTAATGTGGATTGCAAAATTTGTGTTTTATATTTATATATACAATTAATTTATTTAAAAAATAGTGGTGAATCAAAAAAATTATAAATTAAGTTTATAAATGCAAGAAATGTATAGAAAGCATATGTTTTACTACCACTTAAAATGTAGAAATATAATTTTACGCCAAATGCGTAAAAGTTGGCAGGTATGTGGTACACAAATTGCTTCATATTAAATTAATTTAAAGCATTATTTTAAAGCTTCGACTTTGTTTATTCTCCCAAATTAGAAATAATAGAATAACCTCAAATTAAAAATGGCTGATATAAACTTAAAATCTATGATATATTACGGAAGACAAAATTGAAATGAGAGTAAAATTAAAATCTTCTGAATTAGGTATATCCACATTTATGCTAACTCTAAATACATTTTCAATGATCAGGACCACTTGATTTATATTTATATTTGATATTTTGCTTCTTGATGGCTGGTAATAGACGAAAAAAATCATGGACTAGTTAATTTCAATTAACATCAGACGAGCCACGATGGGGGATAGAGCATCCGCCTTCCAATGAGGTGAACTGGGTTCGAATCCCAGATATGGCCGGTCAATACGAACTTCGCATCCGACTCGCATCGACCACAGTGCTGACGGGAAATATCCTGAGTGGTAGACGGATCATGGTTTTGAGTCCCCTTGCAGTCAGGTTATCCTTGGGAGATTTTCGTGGTTTTCCTCTCCATGTAACTCAAATGCTGGTTAGTTCCATTAAAAAGTCCTCATTGGCAAATTTCTCCCAATAATCCAGGAGTTTCCTTGTCTTCTGTATTGGGTTCAAGATTACAAGGCTACGAAGTTGAACATCAGTAGTCGTAAACCCAAAAATTGGGTCGACTATTCAACGACTGTTATAAAAAAAAATATTTGCTGAATACAAATCAAGTTGTACCTAAAAATTAACACTTTTCTACTAGACATTTCGAAAAACTGCATTCAACATAGATATATAAACCTAACAAGAAGATTGGTCTGAAAAACGAACTCTTTATAAGCATAAACTAAAAAAGATACTTAAAATAACTTATGACGATATAATGAAGAACCGCATTTTTAAATTATGCAGAGGAGTGTTTTTGGTGATTAGCACCACAATGTCCTTTTATACTTCTCTAATACTAGTGTAGTGTATACTAGCTGTACCAGCAATACTAGTAATACCAGCTGATCTACATTGGATTTGTGGTTGTCAATGCCCAACTGCATATTGTTTAAATATTCAACTGAGTCAAACATTAAGACACACTTGCTTTCTTGGAGGACTTTTTGATGGATCTAACCTAGATTTGCATTATATGGCGAGAAAAATCTTGAAACTTCTAACAGTTAGCATAACAGCTGAAGGTTTCTAGCTCTTAACCCTTTCGTGCCGACTGTAACAAATACGTGCCGGCATAAAAACCGTATCAACCAGGGTAAGAAGATAAAGCTGGTAATCAAAGTATTTCTTTAGCAGTTTTTTTGTGGGCTGAGTTACAATTGTTTGATTTATTTAATTCACCATTACTTTGTTCGAAATAAAACTATTTAGTTACACTTTGAATCAACATTGATTATATATATGATCAAACTAACAATAATTAAAATAAAAGCAAAGTAAGTCTGTCAAATCAGCAACGACTACATTTAAGTTACCGTTTTTTATTTAATTGCAACTTGATTCTGATTTTGTACGAATGCTTTTCAGAATCATCCGTCCCCAAGGGGTTAATCCACCCACAACTCGGTTTATTTTACCTAAGCATTGTGGTCGGCGATAGATAGGGCAATATTGAAATCGACAAGTTATCCTTGGAATTCAAACCAGTGTTGCTTCATATGGATAGTTCTTTATTCTTTCAGGCTGACATATTTCTTTGTCATGAGCCATACATACATTATATCCTTGTTTTCTATGCGTCTTTGCTGTTGTTTACATGAAATTGCTTAAAAGTATAAAATATTATGTATCATCATTGATTCTAATTATTAGTGGGGTCGTGATGGCTCAAGGGATAGAGCGTTCGCTTTCCAATGAGGTGAACCGAGTTCGAATCTCAGCTTCGGCTTGCAGCAACCACAGTGCTGACTGGAAATATCTTCAGTGGTAGACCTTATCTTGATCGCTTCGCCTCATCTTGATCGCTCCGAAATTTGCATGTGTAAAAATTGTATCACTTGTAAAAACTCCAAGCATGATCTTTTAAATTTTATCAAAAGTTTTGACGTGTAAAATTTTCCAAAATATTTGCTGCTAAAAGATTGTTTACCTATGTATGTAAACTGTTACTTTTGGAAAAAATGTAGCTATATTGCCACATTTAGTCTTTTATTCTCTTTCCTTGAAAATAATTATTGTGCTTTTACCAAAATTTATGCTTTTTTTATTTCCTATAAGCGAACTTGCATGAATGGGTAAATTAAAATTATTCTATTCTAAGAACAAGAGAGACAGAAACACAACGTACCAAGCATTAAGTGGACGGTAAGTTACTTCGAATCTGGCAATGGTTATATTTTTCGGGTTAAAATGCCAACGAACACAAACAGCTGGAGGTTGCCATGAGATGAGAACAACAGATAGATTCCAGGATTTTTGACATCCTTCAGCAAATCCTTCTAAAATATAACATAAAGATCAAATGCATTCATATTTACAAATATACCCTACCCCCACCCTCATTCCATTCTGATAGCATCCCAACACGTGATTAAAATCCACAACGTGTTGTATTTAAATGTATTTGCATATAAATATATGTACCAATGTATTTAAATGCAGAATTCGAAATTGCCATTGAAAAATATTTGAAGATTTGGTCAAAAATTGATACAGACAAGCACTTTTTTATTTATCTTGCATTTGAATTCGTCGAGTAAACATTATATTCTTTACACTTAAAACTATTTATGTATCATGATGTTTAGGACCGTTTAAATTTTTGCTATGATAAGAAAAGCAACAACAAAAAATTAAACTCTATCAAGCATACTACTTATGAATTGCAGCATACTCAGATTAAAAGAGCCGCGATGGCTTAGGGGATAGAGCAATCACCTTCCAATGAGGTTCGGATACCAGCGATGGCTGGTCGATACGAATCCGTATCCGGCTAGCACCGACCACAGTGCTGACGTGAAATATCCTCAGTGGTAGACATATCATGGGTTAGGGTCCTTTTACCATCTGTCTAACCGTGAGAGGTTCTCGTGCTCTTCCTCTCCATGTAACGCAAATGCGGGGTAGTTCCATCAAAAACTCCTCCACGAAGGCAAATTTCTCCCTATACTTGATCCAGGAGTTCCCTTGTTTTCTGGATTGGATTCAAAATCACAAGGCTACGGAGTTAAACATTAGTAGTCGTAACTCCAAACATTGGCTCAGCTGATCAACAACGGTTACAAAATTAAATAAAATACTCAGATTAGAAGATACTAATTCGACAGTTACAATATACTCAAAGATACCAACTGCTTTGCGGGAAATGTTTTAGCAAACTTTATATCTCAATATAAAAAAATTTTTATTATTATACTTGTGAAAATTTGATTAAAAACTATTTCGTCTACCACTAAATAAAAATTCATATCCATTAAAAAGGGTGTTGCCAGAGCCTCAAAAAGTTTGGACTTCTCTAGGATCCTCTTGGTCTGATGCCTCACCTTCGAACAATCCAGCTCTGGAGTCCCTGCCAGTTGCAGCGCTACCACCAGCACAGCTATCAGGTTCATAGGCAAGACGCGACCTTACGATTAAGTGGAACCACCATCGCACCTGGAAAAAATGCTTGGTTTGGCGTAATTTTCACCCTTTCGCAGGGTGAAAAAACAGAACAATTCAAAGTTGATGCCGGAAAAATATCAACTGAGCTATTAAAAAAGCTTTGAACGAGTGTATTAACCCTTTGCACTCGGAAGTCCACACTGAGGCCCCATCAACAGTCACCTATTTAAAATTAAGAAATTTTATATCTTAATAATCAGTAACCACATTATTTTAAAATTTGATAACAATAGTATATTGTGTATTTTTAATGCTATAGTGACCCCCTCTCGACTTTTTGGTTATGAGCACCCCCTCTTCTTCCTATCTCCATTCCTCCTCACTACTCCTCATCATTGATTTATTACTTCCGATGAATCGATTGATGCCGCTTCGCGGCAGCGCACCGAGATTTACGTGATTTCTACCATTATACCAATGCTATAGTGTTGATATTAAATCAAACAGTATTTAAAAGTACTCGGAGTGCAAAAGGTTAATTTCCAAGAGACATACAAAGCAAGAAGGATCCCAAGCAAAAGGATTCATCGACTCCAAAGCAACCTATTAAGCAATTCAAAAAGGTGACTCGGGACTGCACAGAATCCTCAGCTTAAATAAAAAATGCATCAATGTGCCAGTACAAGCAGGAATCGATGAGAATGAGCCTTGGTGAAAGAGGCAAGAAAGCTCAAGTATTATAAATTGCCCTGCGTGGTAACAGTTAGTGACATTAATGTACTGGCAAATTCAAGATTAAAAGCTAGGTAGTGAAACTTAAACATCAAACCTGTGAACTAGACACAAGCAGGACCATGGCGATGACGAACACCCTTACCAGATTCAGAACACGCCGCCCGGCAGCGGATACCCTCCACACGGTTTTTTGTCAGTAGTCCGATCAGACCACTATGAAGGTAAGCAAGTTTACAAAAAAAAAGTAGTGCGTGGAGTCCCTCCGCGCGGAAGAAATTTAACTTCGTAGCCTGCAACGTTAATTGTAGAAGAATCAGCAGTCGTAGAAGGATCACTGGTTCTATTCAACGACTCTTTTTCCTGCTCCGCTCGCTTCCGTGCTCTGTAATAACGGTAATGTGCATTTTTCCCTCGTGGACCTCTTGAACCAGTGGAAGTGCTTGTGGTTGCCTCATCGTCTCGCCCTGGAGAATGTATTTGTATTAATAATGTATGTGAATGCGTCATAATGTAATTTCAGAAGAGAAAACCTAACAATCAATTGATATTCACAAGAGACGTACCTTGACATAACCTTAAATCCGTCGCATCGTCCGTGGGATTGTTTTCACTCATTTTTTACAATTGTTATCCACTAAATTTGAAAATAAAAAATACTATCCTATTAAATATATGTGTATCAAATCAAACTAAAAAAATATTTATAGAAAAACAATACTTTTATGACTTTTATTATTTTTATGCTAGTGAGAACCAAAACAATAGGGAAATCTGGATCCTACCACGTGATTTCCCGGCCAATAAAAATGCAGCGTTAAACGTTTAACGCAACCTTGTTGGAAGTCGCATGAGAAGTATGACTTAAAAAACATTTAATACAAAATCTAGTTAAAATAAGAAAATGGTAGAAAATATATGTCTAGGAATTTATTTAATTTTTGAATTTAATTGGTTTGTCTTATTTACTTGTCAACCACTACAGATTCAATTCTGAAATATATATGCTAAATTTCTGTTTTACTTTCAAAAAAAGAATTTGGATTTAAAATTTATTTTATTTAAAGTATCTATGGGTAAAAAATAGTGTAAAATGATCTTGCATTTCGTGAAAATAACTTTTGAAAACTGTGATGTCTAAACTTAGCACTATTGTCAAGTTATTTTTACAATAACATGCCAAATAAACAAGCATTAATTTTAAAAAAAAATTTACTTTCCCTGCCAAGAAGAAATTTAGCAATTAGTTTTAGCAATTTTAGTTTGAAGAGGCGTAAAAAACTTAATTTTGTCCAAATCTTTATTCAGATTCGATCACAGAATAATTTTTATATTTAAAGTGGCTCATCACGTAACACTGATTAAGAAACATTTAGAAAATTAAGTTAGTTCAAATCAGATTCGATCACAGACTAGTTTTTATCTAGTGAACAAATTTAAGTAATACATTCATATTTTTATATTCAATCACTTTATAAATAATCCTAGCGATTGCTAGTCTATTCAAATCCCGCTTCCAGCTCACACCGACCGCAATGCTGACGTAAAAATATCCTCAATGATAGACATAGCATGGGGGAGAGTCCCTTTGCCACGAAGCTAACCCTGGGAGGTCTTCCTCTCCATGCAACGCAAAAGCGGGTTAGTTCCATTAAAAAGACCTATGCGAAGGTAAATTTCTCCCAATACTTGATCTAAGAGTTCCTTTTTCTTCTGGATTAGGTTCAAGGCTACGAAGTTGAACATTGGTGTCTGAAGTCGCACTTACTAGTATCTGGCCTGATTAAAATTTTAAATAGAATTGTGCTGTTTCGGAAAGGGTTAAGAAAATGAATTTAGTCCAAATAATTGTACAGTTCAGAGTCCTTGTCTTTATCCTTTCTAATTATCACTACCGATCAAAAATTCAAGTGTGCAAGTAGTGGACTAATTTTTCCAAATTATCTTGACAAACATAGATTATCAATGATTTTATTTTTGTACTAGAAAAGAAATAATAGTGATTTTTAAGAACATCTATGGAAATTTTTGCAGTTAAGGTTTTGAATTATCCCGTATCTAAAGCTATATTTATTTACATAAATGCCAGATAAACATACTATGCTGAGTTTAGATTTTAAATTTTAAAAAAAAAACATTTCTGTCAAGAATTACCATTGAATTTCTCAATACCGACTGGAAAAATCAACTTTGAAAAGGAATAAAAGTTTTCAGACGTGTTAGTAAAGTTACTGATCTCATGTATCCTTGACTTATCAATCCAAAAATCAAATATGCAGGTATTATGTAAATTTATCATAATTGATATAATCGATATTAATTTTTTTCTAATTACCGCTTTATAAAAAGAAGTAGACATTATATAATTTCTAAATTTTTTTGGTGATAAGTAAAGTTTAAGTAGTGTTTTATGTTCATGAGTGCATTTACTATTTATACCAGTAAATGCAGAGAATTAATTAGTATAGATCTTAACTCGTTATAGAATAAAATAGTAAAAATGCTACATTCTGTAGTGTTGTGAATGGTACAGTGAGACGAAAAGACATATGATTGAGAGTATAACTAATTTAACCTCTTCGAGACGGCGAGTCATATAGGCATTTTTAGGGTGGCGAAAATCAGGGTAAAAAAACTATTTTTATAGCAGTTTATTTGTGGGCGGGGTAATGATAGTTTGCTTTATTTAAATTCACCACTACTTAGTTCGAATTAAAAATTTTATAGTTGCACTTGTGACACATATGGATTGGATGTGTTAGATTTAAAGAGAAGTCAAAAATAAATCTGTCAAATTAACTATACCGAAAACTAAGCCACCGCGTTTTAATTTTTGCCATCCTGATACTGATTCCTACCGAGATTCCTTCATTTGCCTATTTTTTACCATCCTGATTCCTTTCCATCGCTTGAAATTCAGAATTAGAATAACTTTAATTTAAAGATGAATTATTCTGAAATTCAGAGTATGTCTGCTATTCAAATCCTTGTTGATGGGACAGAATTTTTTTTAAATATAGAAGTAGTTTATAGATAATGCAAATTTAAAATCTTAAAAAAAAATTTCCCTCCAGTTTGGAAAAGTCCAAGGTCAAAGAAATATTAAAGACATGTACTTTTTTCCATTGGGGCTTTGTTTCTGTTCAACGTCCCTAGTGTCCAA